TCTCTCTCTCTCTCTCTCTCTCTCTCTCTCTCTCTCTCTCTCTCTCTCTCTCACCCACGACGCAAATAAAACAGGGCACGTCACGAGCACATCATTCGCGAGGTCGAACAAGCGTGCCTCGGAATAATAGATTCTCAATAGGTGGGATTACGGGAGGCGACGGTTCCGAATTAAATCGATCAACTATATCGCGCAAATACCTTCCGACTGGAAGACATCGATCGCGCCCGTATTTCGCTTCATTCTCCGCCAACTGCCGAGTCCATTCGTTTTGCACTTGCACTTTCGTCCACGTATCTCGCCCCTTTTTTCGTTTTCCTCGTAAATTCTAGCATATGCTTATTATTTCATTCTCCCATCCCCGTTAGAAGCATAGAATATCTTCAATGGCAAGAATGGTGGAACTGAATACTACTTACGTCATGCGTACACGGAAGAAACAATACGGGTAGGCCCGTATGTAAATCTGGTTGCACTAAACAGATTCAAATATGGAACGGATAATTATGCGGTAGCTGCAACTATAGAACAATTGCTGAATAAAGGAGTCCATTAACTGCGATTGAATTTACGTTTTAAAGTCGTAACACTAGTCTGTAAATCGATCATGTGTCTATTTCCTTTGCATAAACTCGTGTGAAAAATGAAAAGTTTCATTGATGAATTCAATAAAACTTTTCATTTTTTACGAGTTTACGCGAAGGAAATGGATGCATAATCGATTCACAGACTAGTGCTACGACTTTAAGACGTAACTGCGACCACATTGTAGACGATTCCTTGCAGTGACGATATCTGGTTGCTCTAACTAGAGTGTATCCATGGTAAATGTCACCCAAGCTGATTTCTAGTTGTCACTAGCAGGCTAAGCGCGACTACATTGATGTATCAAAGCAACTGAGGCGTATCAGCCATACACATTGCCGTCGCACGAAGATAACTAGGATGATGCAACTGTGCTGTTCGCGACTACATGGAAAAAACATCTCAGTTCGGGTAACTGAATGGGGACCCGAGGAAAAACTCGCTGACGAGAAATAATATCTCTGTTACTGTGACCGCAAACATTCGTCTGAACATTAAAACTCGCTTGGGGTAACTGAGAGCAGTCGGCTGAATAGAATCCCTCCTACAGGAATCTTTCTGTTGCCACAATCGAGTTTTTCATCCGGTCCCCAAGTAACAGAAAATTCAATTACGCTAATAGGGAGTTGTGTCTTCCCCGTGTAAATATTATTGTACATCATATCTTTTCTTTTCTCCCGCTTACATAAAAATGTACGAGATGCATCGTGGTCGTTTCTGCAGAAAGTTCTGTACACAACGTACGTGGAGATTTCTATTTTTCCCGAGAGAAGTAAAACGGAATGACGATAAAGCAACATCCCGAGGGGTTAGATGTGATGATAAAAACATGCTCCAACTTTTATCGCGCGCTAATAATACTTGTTTGTTTCAATGAGACTAATTTCGGAGCGGGACCAGCTTGCGTACAGAGAATTGCAGAGGGAAAACGTACCGTGCTCCGTCTCCGCTTCGTCACATTTGCGTTTGAGTGGTAAAATTGTCTTCTCTCGGCTTTTGACGGCGTTTCGTCCGCGTTGTTTAACGAAGTAACGTGAATCACCAGCGGCTATCCAACGCCAAGCCCGAATATGCACTTGGTAGAAATGGCCGGGAAAAGAAACTTGTTCGCCGCGCGCAAACGTTCTTTCCGAAATATACAAGAGCAGGGAGAAATGCTCCGACAACGCGTTAAATTAAAGCAGCGCGAGAAGCAAGCGATTTTTGAAAGCCACGCTGAAATTCGTTATATTGCACTTAATTCTACAACACACACATACACACGTACACACCACTTCAAAGTGCCATAAAGTTATTAAACGTATCTTGACTCAAAGTTGAAAGCGTTATTAAACATATCTTCGCCTCAAGTTGGAAATGTTGCTGAAAATACGCGCTCGATAAACGTAAAATGATGAAGGACGGGAAAACACAAGCGGAAAATATAGCGTCGAGAGAGGGTTGAAATATATTCTCGCGAAGATACAGACTGCGATATCGATCAATGTCTTTGTATCTTCTTTCAAACTGCTGGAAGCGTTCCGCGAAGAGCACATATATCCGAATCGCCCGGCTTCGTGACGTAGCGAATTAATCTCCGCCAAGTTATAGCGGCTACGAAACTCCGGTTGTGTTCGAGTGAACCATTAACCCGGTCGAGCTTCAGTTTATCCTATGGTCGAGGATCATCCTGAAGGTATATGTATTCGCGAGCGGGGAGCGTGACGACGATAGGTGGGAAGCAGCGATGGGAGGAATCGCTGGAATTATCGTTACCCAATTTGCTTCCCCGACGCGCGGCCCGGACACGAAGTTGGCGAAATTGGGTCACTGCTGGCACATATCGGCGGGCAGAAAGCGCAAATTGAAAACCGAATGCGCTGTATACACTTGTTCGCTGCTCCTCAATGCTCGCGCGCGCGTGTATGTATAAGAAACGATATTATTGTTACCGCCACGCCCTCTTTATACTTCCATCTGCGTGAATTACAGTCAGCGACGAATACCTATTTTATCATCGTTATATGTGAAGAATTCAAGTTGACATGAAAACACACGTCACATTGCGAGAAGATAATTTCCGACATCTGCACCGAGAGGAAAGAGATATCTAAAAAATAAAAGCTATTCGGCGAATATTAATAACATATGTTTTCTTATGTAAGATATTTTTTAAAGAAAAAATATATATTATATTAAAACTTTAGCTTTTTTCGTGAAAGCAATTGTTTGTTTTATTTCAATAGAGAAATTTATATTTAAAGAAATATGTTATCACGTGCCCATAAATATTTTTCACTTTTTTACATATCTCTTTCTTTCAGAATAGTGTGATGCAAAAGGGCGTAACTTGTTTTCCTTACATGTAACTTACATATGTCTTCGTCGTATAAAAATATCCGAGAGATACGGAGAATAGCAAGCATCGTGAGCAACAATTTTGCAGCTAAGCGCGATCGTTAATAATCATTAATTCTCGCGAATTGCTCTGTTATATCAGCAGCCGTCTTTAAAGAAATCCCTTTAGTGCCTTCGACGGCTCTACTTCACCACAAATACTCTCATTCATTACACGAAAGAATCGAGAAAGCTGCGAAATGATCCATTTTACTCGAATATAATCAGTCAAATGTAATTTTTTTCTCATCGTCTTGTTTACATTGTTCCGTCTTTATTACAGCACCGATATTTTTCACCGCTTCAATTCCAACGACGGACAAAACGAAAAGCGCTCGCGGATGAATTTGCATTCATTCTCGGCAACTACAACCGCCGACGTTACATTCCACGCGAAATACTCCATTGCGTTCCACTATGCAGCCACTTTCGGAAGCCCTTCAGATCAGCCCGCGTGCGATACGCATTATACCGCACCATGGCGTCGTAATCCAAACCCGCGTAATCATACCCACGACATAATTGTGGCAACACATCTGACTGTGAGCGATGCGCGGATTTAGCTCTAATTAGGCGATAAAATCGCGGCAGCGTAAGTTACACAATGGGATAGTGTCAGCGAAGGAATAGAGGAGAATAGCGAGCGGAGAACAATGTTCGGAGAGAGAAGACAGAGAAAACAGTGATTTGTATCTCGCATGCAGAAAGTATCAAAATTCATTCTTTTTCGAGCGAAATTAGATAAGATAAAAATATTAGTGCCTGAACACGTACCTAACTCTGAGCATTCTTATTTGTTTTGGTCCTTCAACATGAATATTTAAACTTTCAACATTCAATCAGAGAATTATATACGCATATATTGAACATATACGTATATTCTACGTTGGAAATTTAAATATTCACGTTTAACGACCAAAACAAAGGAGAATTTTCAGAAACAGTTACGTGTTCAGATGTTGGTACTTTTGTTTTAAAATCTCGAAATCAAGAATAAACAAAAGACAATTGACTACGTTATCAAAACTCGTAGATGATAAAATATATAAATTCTCGGAACGATTGGTGAACAACTATTTTCTTGAAAAATACAAGAAACATGCACGAAATCATGCAGAAGTTTCCATCGTA